ATTTGCCACTGACGATTCAAACGCGAGTTTTGAGCAGTGTAGAGTAGCGCTTGTTGTTTGTCATTTCTCCAATCACAAATGCAGACATGGTTTTATGTTTACGTGGCACGATGTAACACGTAAGAAAACAGTGTAAGTCATTATAATCCGTTATTATGTCCCCACTGGATGCAACAAATGCCTCATTTATAATGGGTTTTAATGTTTTTGTCTCGTCGCTCCATCACAGAAAGGTAAGGGAAGTAACATTTCCGTCACACACTTGAGGTATTCGGCCAATCACAACGCACTGGAAAGCTGGCCAATCAGAGCACACCTCGCTTTTCAGAACGATGAGCTTTGTAAAAATCTACGCGTTTCAGAAAGGCGGGGCATAGAGGAGAAACAATAATGTACTGTATGTGGAAAATAATGTGTTTTTTTTACCTTAAACCACAAACACATTTCACTACACCAAATACACAAAATAATGTTCTTTTTAGCAACATCATATGAGTTTAATGAAGCATTTTGAAAAAACCAATGGTGCTTTATAAAGCCTGTTTTACAATATAATTGAAAGATCAGACAACAGAATGTATACGTACATACATTGTAAAAAAAAAACCCACCAGAATCCAGTGGTTGCCAGAATGTTCTTCTTCTTATTATTATAATTTTTATTATTATTATTATTATTTAGTATTTTTCTAATGTAGTATCTGGAGTTTCTTGTTCTCTCCCCTATAGTTTATCAATCTCAACTTGTTACAAATGACTCTTTAATTTTTCAGAGACTGTAGTTACATGTGATGGGTTTGTCCAGCGTCTCAGTTGTGGTAAGATGTATCACAGTAATCTAAAGTTATTTATTATGTTTTCTATTGTTATTGTTGTTGTTTTAACAGTAATTCATTATGTATTGATGTTTTTCTTCTGTTCAGATACTGGGGTGATCAGTGTACAATCAGCAACCTGTGGCCGCACAAGCAGCCAAATTTGCAGCATTGGACGACCACCATCTGAGACATCTTATACTCAGTGTTCAATAGATGTCACTGCGGTCTTCAAACGGTAAGATATTTTTCATTGTCTTTTTGCTTGTGACTACAGACAGAAAAATGATGGGTAGAATTATGTCTCTGTTGCTTACTCTGTGGTTAGCTTACTTATTAGTATACATTGCATTATATTATTTATGTCTTTATCCTTAAACAGGTGTAATGGACTGAGAGAGTGCGAGTTAAACACTCAAGGACTGGCACCAAAAGATCCATGTTTTGGCACCTACAAGTACTACACTACCAACTACATTTGCATCCCAGCAGGTTTGGACGTTTTCTATCTCTTCCTCCAATTCCAGTTCTTTATAATTTCCTTCTCTGTGTAAATGTTTTCTGTCCATTTTCCAGAAACAAGTGTGACTTGTCACGGTGGATACAGTTATTTGAAATGTGGTGAGTGATTTTTCCACATCTCTCACATTGTTTCAAGAAATGGAGTCACGTGGATTACTTTAAGGACTACAATTTTTTTATCTCCATGTAGAAAATGGTAAGATTCAGATAAATACTGCAAACTATGGACGTACAGATAAAACCACTTGCTCTGAAGGACGTCCATCCGAACAGCTCCAAAACACCAACTGCTATTCACCCAATGCACTGGCTCCTGTGTCCAAAAGGTAGGTAGGTAGGTAGGTAAATATATACATAGATAGATAGATAGATAGATAGATAGATAGATAGATAGATAGATAGATAGATAGATAGATAGATAGATAGATAGAT